CGTTATTTGTGGTGTTACATTCACCAAATGTTACTTTTTGTAGATTTAACTTGCATATGAACTTATTAACTTAGATGTCCACGGTGCACCTACCACCGTCGCAGAGATCAAATGTCCCAGATCAGCAATCGACAGTACAAAAGCTGCTTGACGAAAATTCTAGGCTGATAGACATCATACGAGAATATCAAAACCAGGTTAGCTGAGCCTCATTACTTTCTAATGTGGAAACCAACCGATTACAGAGTAGAGCGGACGAAGCTGTGAAGCATCAACATGTCCTACACAGGAACCTGGTACACCTGGCTAACCTTGCCGATCCATATCTTATTCATCAACTCAGAGATGATTTATCGCCACAGGCAGATCCTGCACAGCCGCTAGGAAACCCTCATGTTCAACCAGCACCTGTCACATCTCAGCAACATATTCAACAATCGCAGCAGCCTCCTCAGTCTTCACAAAGCCATCATTCGCAAGGACCCAGTCACCATCATTCTCAAATGATGCCACCACAAGCTGCTCCAAGTCCAAATGGGCCGCCAGGCGGTCCAATTCAACCTTCACATGGGTTCGCACCTCCGCCATTGAATGGGTCGCAGGACATGATGAATCACCATGCTTTTCAAGCTCAGATGCGAGCCCAGCAGCAACAACAAGGAGGACCACCAGTGCCACAAGGATATCCTCCATTCGGGCAACCTGCTCCACAGATGGGCGGGCAACGAATGCCATACCCTTACCCACACCAAGGTTTGCATGAACTGTTCGTCAATCCAAAATACTATTTTTTAGGAATGTCAGGATATCAGGTAGGACCACCTCCGCATGGATATGAAGGATACCCACCGCCTGGATCTCAACCACCACCACAAGGGTACATGCGTTGATTTGATCTTTAAAATTGCACCCGGTCCGTATCATCTCCACAAATCCAAAAATCTCATTTTCTCAACATTCGAAACTAATACACATTATTCTTGCTTTCAATTTTTATTATCAAGACAATTCATTGATTTAAGCACCAATCAACAATAAATGCAGCTATTATATACAAGAAAAAGAAACCTAAACGGAGAACCGGAAAAAAGAAATGAGCACATTGGAGAAACTCTGTCATAGAAGTTACAAGAACGGTTTCACTGTAATTTGTAAAATTAGAAAAAGGGGTACCAGTACAACTATAGGTGGCTGAAAAGAAATGGCAGTTTAAAGATTCTAGGCATTTTCTGTTTATTATTACTCTTCGTCTTCTTCGTGTCCGTCCAGAAAAGTTTCGTTGAAATGGATGACAATTACTGTAATGTCGTCACGATAATTCCGAGCGCGACCAGGTGGTACCTATGAATTGAAGATTACCAAAAAAAAAAAGAAAAAGTTATTGGAAACTGACCTGCAGAATATCTATAAGGCGTTCATACTGTTTTGTTGCTCCTCCACTTACACCTCCAAGCGCATGTCGAATAATATGGGTGGCACAGTTCTCATCGATCGGCTTTTTGGTTTTCTGTTCACCTCTTGCTCTTTCTTTCAATTGCTCCCGAACTTGTTGCAGTGTTGTGCCTGACTTGGGCACATACGCTTGTTGTGTGATTGTTCCCAGTGTGTGATCATGAACGAGACGAACAACAGTATCAGGATCTAACCATTCCCACAAACCATCCGTGGCTAACACGAGAAACCTATCATTTGGTGTAAGCTTGTGGTAGAAAACCTCCGGTGATGTCGATAGATAGGGGGGAGTGTAGAGGTGCTGGGGTGGTGGATGGCCCAGTGGTTCTAGTACCACTTTCTGAAGATCAAGCGGCCACTTGTATCGAACGTCTCCAAATGCACGTAGTGGAAAAAGCTCTCCCAACAGTCGTCCACCTCGCAAGACAGTTTGAGATTCCGAAGCGGGATGAGCGATTCGAATCCTTTGCACTTCATCGGCATTGTCAACACAATGTGCTCTTGAAAGTTGCCTAGCTGTTACGCTGCCATTCGGGTTCACAACCCCCAAAACTGCAGCAGCATCTCCAAGATTGGCCACGTGTAAATGCCTTGATCGAATATGGGCCAAAGTACAGCACGATCCTGAAGCAGCAACCATCGCGGCGTGCCTATCTATGACTCCCTTCGCATTGGGCAGTGCATTATCGCCCAAATCCTTATCACATGTTTCGAATGCGAGTTTTAATGCTTCTCGAACAGTTCCTGTGTAGGTATTCGGGTTCTTTTTGAATTCTTTGTGATAAGCAGCGATGTTGCGTGTTTCCCGGGATTTGAATGCGTTTGGGAGATGGCCGTCGGAGCTGCTGAACAACCATTCAAGTCTCTGGTCTGGAGAATAGTCACCTATCTGAAAAAAACTATTTATATTACTTTGACAAGATGTAATGCGACTAAACTCATTTTACTATTCAATGACCAGTACTAATCAATTATTAAGAACCTTTTTTTAAGTTTCGTTGGTTCTATTTAGATGCGATAGATTAGTTTTTCCAGACTCCTCCGATAGCGAAAAAATGTTGTCATCAAAAAAAAGTTGTTTTTTTTCGGGGAAATCGGAGCCAATTCTGAGCTTTCACTTAACTCTAAATACCGCAGTAGCGCAGTAGACTGACTTTCCTTGAGGAGCTTCAATTTTTCATACGGTTTCAGGGGAATATGGTTTTTGGGACTTGGGAAGAGTCTCTCTTTTTGATAAGGACAATGCTGTCATTTTGTTTACATTTAATGCATATAAGAACTAACGACTCACTTCATGCTTTTTTAATACTGAAGCACATAAGTACGGATAGAGATTTGTAGAAATATGACGACTACATTGTTGACCGCCGTGCCCATCAAATACTCCGAAAAGAAAAGCACGGCTCGATATGCCTGCAAAACTGATTAAAATATAAATCAGATACCTTGTTCCGACAAAAACTGAGTTATCCAAGAGGAAACACAGAATCTTCTACTTTTTTTTCATCGAAAAAGAGTTCAAAAGTACTCACATTTAGCTGCAGAATAAAAATCTTCGATCGGATTGTTGGCAGCCAATTGACATGTATCGACTCTCATGATTGCGTCGTCTTCAACATTGGCAGAACGTTCGTGAGCTCTGAGTATAATCAGTTATTTGATATTGATATGGCTTTGTATTCACCTCAAATGAGCATCTGCGTTCCATCTTGAACTCCTGTTATGTCGACGAAACTCGTGAAAAAAATTCCTTTTCAGCATCACATAGGGATAGTTTTCTTAAAAAGCGGTTATTATCACTTGATGAATAATCAAAAGAACATTTTAAAAAATTGCTCCGAGCCGAACACAACAACGCTAGGTGATCCAATCCGGGAAAACACGGCCTCCCGCACGAGAAATGCACCATGGCGCCCACTGAAAAGGCGACGCGCTGCGTCTTCCGCTCTCTAACGCGTGTTAATGGAGCGCGATTGCGACAAAAATAGAGACGTTCGTAAAAATTGGCTGGAAAACTGGAAAACGAAACGTTTTTAAAGAGATTGAAACGAAAAACAATAAAAGAAGAGCGTGACTACAATTGTTATTAATTTCTAGGTGAAAAGTTATGTCTCCGACAAATAGGGCCTATTTAGGTGTGCGAAGTACTTTTTCCGTTACACAGACAAATCTGGACCATGAATGGAATTGAAATCAACAAGGAATTATTTGTCGATGTTGACAACGGGACGTAATGTAGAAACCTTCGCCGAATTTTTGATCCTTCCAGTGCTTTTCCTTCAATGTTGTCGTGATTTTCATTGTTTCGCCGTTTTCGGACCGGAAACTAAGAAACTCAAAAATCGGAAACGGAGCAGTTTTTAAGAATTGTTTGAGTTTTTTTTTGCAATATAGTTTGTTTTGTTTGCTTTAGAATGAAAGAAGTTATCATCGAAACAAAATTCAGTACAAAATGTGAAAAAAACACCATTTTTTCGAGGTTTTTCCAATCTCTTTAAAAAACTAAGAGCTTTTTCAAATAAAGAAAACGGAGCGTTTGTAGTAAAAATATCATTGAGCATTTAGGTTTTTAAATCAAAAAATTTAGTAAAGTGCGAACCAAGTTATCATCATTTTAAAAGGTCCTGTTTTTTACTACTGGAGTACTGTAGCTTCGCAAACAACGAAGACAGGCGTTTATTCTGAACGGGTTGTGAATCAGAATCGTACCCCTTGTTATCACAATATTTAAATCTGTGAAAAAAAATAGTTTTGAGAATGTTTGAAAAATCGGCTTTTGAGTTGTGATGTGTTTGCCGAGCAAAGAAGGTATGCATTGCCTCATGAGCCATAACTCGCTTGAAATTGGTCCAAACTTATTGAAATTTTTAGAGGATGTGAATCATGAGTTAATTAACGTTTTTATCAAAAAACAGTAAGTTTTGAGAAAAACCACTCAATGGGCACTTGACTTTCGGCCGTTGGGAGTTTTTGTGAAATTTGGGAAAACTTTTTGTTCTCAATTTTCATTGTGATATTATGATTTTGTTTACCAACACATTAAACACACCCTCTAAAAATACGAAATACTTTGGATCATTTTCAGGAGAGCTGTGACTCATGAGCGGGGCCATACATTTCTCTAACTTTGAGCCTATATATCTCATTTGCTGTAGGAGATATCAGGAAGTGGTCCACTAACAAAATGTTAATAATAACATTTCCAATATTTTATCACTGGGCGACTTTTTGATATCTCTCACAGGAGCCAAGATAATTGAGCTCAAAGTGAGACTATTTGAGCTCTTAACTTTCAACTGATTTATCTCGATTGCTGTGAAAGGTATCAAAAAGTGTTTTACTGTAAAAACACGAATAACATTATAATAAACATTTTGTAAATTGACTAATAATAAACATTTTGTTAATTAATAAACATTTTGTTAATTGAAGTGATCAACTAAGAAAATGTTAACCATAAAATGAACAATGTTTTCTCAGTTGACAAATATTTGATATCTTTCACAGTAATCGAGATAATTGAGTTCAAAGTTGACGGTTCGATTGGGCTCATAGAGTAAATACGGTGTATTAGATATTTTAAATACATGCCTTCCAGATAACCTAATTTATTGGACTTTTTTCACAACTTCAACTGTTTAACAATCTTTCGTAGAAAATGAGATGAGTGAGACCCAAGTTGAGTGTCAGTCTTAAGAAGGGGTGCTATTATATTTTACATTAATCAGCTCATAACTTTTTGTTGCACTGTTCCAATCAACTTATTCGATCCTGTTAAATCAACTTATTCGATCCTGTTGAACGTAATGAATTATTTATCAACCAACGTTCACTTTCTGCATCTACTACTGATTCTTCGTATATTTCGAGTGACCTGAAAGTTTATTCTTGCTCGTTTCTGAGCTTCTTTTTTCGACAGTCTCAAAGAGAATACTGAAGCAACAGAAAGTTTAAGGTCAACATTTTTATTGAAATACTTAAAGAAAGAGATACGGGGAAGAAAAAGGAAGTAACAAAAAAAGGTAGAGAGATGTACAATGGACAAAACAAAACGCACGCACTGGAAGTATAACTCCTGCCTTCATTTTTGTGTCGGTTTACTCGTTTTCTCTGATCTCTACTGAAAAATGAAAGCAGGAGCTTCAGTTCCAGATAGATGCGTACTATAGTAAGTTGTTGAATAAACGAAGCTATGAACGAAGGGATGATTGAATTCACTCATCGCTTTTGACTCCAGGGAACCTGAAAAATTTGGCACAGAAGAATTTTGAGCTCTGGTGTGACTAACCGCTATGATGCGTTCCGGTATCAGTTGGTGGGAAGCTGGTATCAACGCCTTTCCGTAAGCCTGTTCCGGGAATTCGCTTGATTTACCTGAAAAATCAATATTATACATTTTGAGATAAGTATTCACAAGTTACGTCCACAAGGAGAAGACGCGAAGAGGGTTTAACAATAGCTCAACTGGAAAAATGAACAGAAAACGCCCAATCTAAATTAAAATACTTATATTTTCATCACTGGGTTATAATTTAACATTTTGCAATTACTAGAGATTCGAAAAATCAGCTAAAATACTTTTAGCTTATTACAGTGATGTGAAGGACGATTCAACAACTAACAACCGAGGTAAACCCGAGAAAAACTGTAGGGAAAAAATCGTTGAAGCATAATAAGATGACAAAGGTAATATACTTTAA